TACCCATGATTCAGACTGACTTAAAACTATACAAGATCAACAGGACATTAAGAGTCCTCACTGAAAACTCAGTGGAAATGTGGAACAAATCCGGGCACTTTTTGGTCTTTCGATTTTGGTCAAGTTAAACTTGATCCAAATTAACTGCAGGAAACCGATCCAGTTATCAGCCATGAACATTTATTTTACAATATGTAAAATACACAACATTTTACAGCGCTGGGCCAGATGCATCAACCCTTCTCTGCTCAGGTCTTTCAGCTGGCCTGGGAACACCTTGGAGTCCTCCCAGAAGGACTCCAACAAGTCTGTGAAAAGATATATCTGGGCCTTCCAGCTTAAGCTTCTGCCCCTGTGACCTGGCTCTGGAAAAAGTGGCAGATTATAGATGAATAAATGAACAACTGGAATTCCTGATGACATCACTCTAAACCAATAAAAATAGATCATAAATTGGCATTTTTGTAAACAAAAACTAATTTGTTGCTAGCCAGATGACAACTGGCCAAATTTCAGCAAAACTACATATTGTTTTGAAGCTTTTGTGACAGAGAATTTGCAAATAATAATAGCTCAATATTGAAAAAATTCTCGTTGACATTAAACAAACATTGACATGCAAAAGTGTAGTAGTTTGATATCAGCATGTTGTGTTCCTTCACACAAGTCTTGTTGTTTTTGAGAGCTAGTTGTTGCAGAAGCCCAAAAAAGAATGTGCCATTGTTCGGCTAGCCATGAGCTTAGTCTGGATGAAGCTTTTACCTTGTTTTGTATCCTGTGTGCTTTATGACTGAAGGTACTAACTGTTGATAACCATTAGACACAACATTACTTCAAAGTTCACAGGACTATCCATTTAATTTACCAGAACTCAAAGTCTACTCTAGCATATTAAATCATAAACATTGCACCTGAGAGGTGGGCAATGGAACAATGTGTACAGCTAGAATGTTTGCAAGTTGTGCTCATAAAAATACTGTGATTTTCAATGTTGGGTGGTTAGAGTGCAGCTGTGTGGCTCACTTGTCCCTTGATCACAAACACTCTGAACTCTGTTTTTATTTACAGTTACCAACTAGTCTCCAACAGTCGCACTCAAGTGAGACATTATTATAAAAGACTGCAAAATGTTATGGCCTCTAGTTTTTTTCATTGCAGCATGTAGAGGTTAAAACATATAGGACCAAAGAATAAGCATTGTTCATCTTCATGACTTTGCTTATAAGCTTTGCCATGRACATTCTTCAATACTTGCACAAAACAATCTCTGCCTGTGAGATCAGATTCTAACGAACAAAAGAGATAAAATCAGTTTGAACAGAAGAATGGTAGTCAGCTGTGCCAAAAGCTGCTGCACAGTCAAGGAAAAACCGAGATAGGTTTTTGTTTTTGAGGTCAATAACAATTGTTACTAGGAGTGTCCCGATCCAATATTAGCCAAGAAATGAATATCGTATTATATCGGCCTGCATCTAAAATCAYCAATWTAAGTGATGCGAAACAAGCAGCCCATTCCAGTGGTCCRCTCAGGATTTCWATCCAGCATAAATACCTTAAATGACCTTGAATAGATATTTTACACTTTACAGGTACATTTTGTTTTTATTGGATTTATTGAGGTAATTTTTCAGGATTTTCTGTTTTATTGTTTATTGTATTTTATTGTACAATATCTTTATGTTAAATGTTACCCATTGGTTAATAATAAACGGGACCAAGTTTTTCATACCTACTGTTGTTGACTATTGTTTACTGTTTGACCTGATTAAGACTTTKTAAGATTCCACACTATGGTAAAGGTAATATAAGTATTTGTGAATCGTTTTAGTACTGCATCGGGTCGATATCGGTATCGGACAATACTCAAGGCAGCAATATYGGTATTGTATCAGAAGGGAAAAAGCTGTAATTGTGACTACGCTACAAGAAGTTTTTCCAAATTTAAAACCAGTTAGATTTTAATAGATTACACAGTGTTCTTTTTTCTGTGAATGTCATATCAAAGTGCCATTGTCAAACATATCAAACAGTATCATTTAGTCARATACTGTGAAACTGCAGGTTTTCACGTCTTTTCTGTAGTGTTATAAAACATAAAAACATTTGCTTAACTAGTTTAAGAGAYGCCTGCCTTTTGTGCAGCACTTACATGAAAGCACGATGGAGCGCGAGGTGGAAAATCGCTCAGATACGTTCTCCCAGCTGTAGAGCGTCAAGCCTTTTGTTCTGTAAGAAGCAGCCCATCTGTTTTGAATGTTTTAGATCAAGTTCTCACAAAATCTCACTGATTTAATCTGCTCAGCTCTGAGGCTTACAGCTGAGTTACTCATCATTTTATCTCYGCTAAGCTTCAACTGGTACTTGCTTGGAATTAAATTAGAATCTCCTCATGGTTTTAGATTTTTACTTGTAATCACGTTAAAAACTGCCCAAAGGTCTCTTGAAGACACAAGACTCATTTCATATCAGCMACTTCTCTATGAAACTCAAAACAGGAAGTGGTCGTATTAAGCAGTGGCATGTGAAGCATATTTTTTTTAATGACTAYTTGTGCTCAGCTCATTCTCTGCTTGTTTTCCTCCCAGGAGGACAACAGTGTTTGTGCGTCTGTTTGTTGGCAAAATATCTCATGGACCACAAGACAAATTTAATGAAACTTTCAGGAAATATCGGATATGCATCTACAACTCAATAACTTTCAGAATCAGACTGATTTAAGTTAGTCGACTCGCCACTAGGTGTGGGTGGTATTGCTCATTTTCATACCGCGGYATGAGCTTTAGAGAATACCAGGGTACACGGTATTCCCGGGCGGCGGTAAATGTTTGTCCCAGCTTCAYATGCGCTTCACCTCGCGTACTCATACCGTCATAAATTTTTTATACYGTCGTCATATTTTGATAACGCATYATAACAAAATACCTTCATTCCACCCAAGCCTAATCGCCACAACCAACTGACCTTTGAAACCACAAAAATGGCAAGAATTAAGCCAGTTTTACAAATATTGAGTTCAGACTTGATGTGGTTGTAGCTGAGGGTCATTTACAGTACACAATCCAAATGCTACTCACTGGACAAGATTTTTGCTTCAAACTTGAGCATTGCCATTTAGAGTCAACCTTCAGGCTTGTACAGTAGGCACTAGACATCACCTGCCTCTCTTCTTACCCTGATGCACCCACCACTCTGGAACAGGGTAAATTTGGACTCATTAGACTCCATGACCTTCCATTGCCCCAGAGACCAATTTTTATGCTCCCTAGCAAACTGAAGCCTTTTTCCCAGTTAGCCTCACTGATTAGTGGTTTTCTTAAGGCTGCACAGCTGTTCAGTCCCAATCCCTTGAGTTCCCTTCACACTGTGCATGTGGAAATGCTTTTACTTTCAATATTAACTCTGTGAACTGGTCTGGAAGCAACCGAAGGTTTTCCAGAGCTACAGATGCATTCGCATACAACACTTTCTTGGCTTCAGATACACAACCCCTAAAACTCCCTGCCATCGCTGGCTATGATCTTGCTCTGTGAAGGTTTTTTTTATGTACCTCGGATTGTGTCCTGAGTGGACATAGCATGATGTTGTTTTTTTAATCATCATTTTGTTATTTATTTTTTCTTTTTAAAGTTGGCGCCTCTTTATGGCTGCTGGACCTGGGGCACCTGTTCTCCCTGTTGTGTTTTGTCTATATCTCTTGAATGTGTTGTTCCGAACTGTAATTTCCCTTCGTGGGATCAGTAAAGTATCATTCATTAAAGACTTGTTGTTTTTCTTCAGTTTGATTTCATTAAATGTTTAAGTGATAGCCGATCATGATCATTCAGGATTTTTTTCTGGCTTCATTTCTTCCTTGAAGACGATGGGTCCCCACAATCCTTCCAGTTTTTAATTATGTGTTGGACTGTTCTTAACCCAATTTTAGTAGTTTCTACAATATCCTTAGTAGTTGTCTCTGCTTGATGCCAATGATTTGACCMTTCTCAAACAGATTATCTTTCCCACGACCACAGGATTAGGGATGACCCAATATGAAAATTTCAGGCGATATCGAAATCCGATATAATTATTGCTATTATGGCCGATAACCGATATTTACAGATATTACACAAACACACAAATTATGTTATACATATACGCACAAACACACTTTGGTCTTTTTTTGATACCGTAAATAAACAACCAGACCTCTGACATGGCTCAACTTCAGTTATTCTTGGTTGTGCAGCGTCAATATCACTGTCATGATCAAACAGATGCTGCTCAACCAACCATCTCCTTTCCCAAAACAGAAACGCAAAGATAAAAAGTGGGAAATCAATATTGGACCTTAATTTTGGCCCAGTTTTACATATCAGACTGATAGGATATTCTAAAAAATGACCAATATGATACCGATATTAGTGCAGACTGCCGRTGTATCGTGCATCCCTACTCAGGATGTGTCTTTTCTCATGGTTGTTTAAGAAATGAGAAGCAACTCTTTGCACCAGTTGCAGTTAAATAACTTGTTGCAGCTGAAAGATAATCACCCATGAGGTAATTATCCAATAGGAGGCTCCTACCTGTTTGCTTAGTTAAATCCAGATGGTGAGATGTTTTTTTTTTGGCCAGGCAGTGTATCTCATGAACCATATGAACATGACGACTTGCGATATTTGCACACACTGTTAATTATAAGTTTTGAACAAAGCAGCTACAACGCCATCATTTCTCTTCACGTCTAAAAACACAGCAGGAAAGGCAACAGATGATGTGTAGTCCTTCAAGGAACGCTAGGCATTTGATTTTTATCTGCTTTGAATTTTTTCTTTACATTAAACGTTCTGTTTCTGTAAAATTGTTTATCCACAATTTGTTGAGCAGCACACACCATTTGTCTGCTGAGCCTCTTATCTGTTGTGGTTTTGTAGGAGGTGAACCACAAACACATGTAAGGGATTACAGACAAAACAATTGTTTGTTGGGAAGTGACATGTTGGTTTTCTCTGTCYCCCTCTCAGGAGCAGCCAAAGATCATCGAACCTCTTGACTATGAGACCGTGGTGTTTCAGAGGAAGGCTCAGATCCACAGTGACCCCCACAGAGACCTGCTGCTCTGCCCTGTTGATGATGTCTCTGTGAGTTTCTGCTTTTCAAACCCAAAACAAAGCTGCTCTGACACATGCGGAATGTCGTTTGTGTAGATTTTTTTCTTATCCATCTCATTCCTACACATAAAGCCCTGCGTGATATGTGCATGTGATTTCCGTCACAAACTGGAACTGGCATTTGTTTACGTGTGAACAGTTGAAGCTAACATGATTTCTTTGAGTAAAGTTGATGTATAAATGTGATCTCAGTCTCATATGATTTTCCAGGACCTGTAAATACCATCAGTCTAAGCTAACCTCAAGTTAGCTTACCTAATTAGTTAGTTACCTAACCTCACAAACACACTACAGATTCTACCAAGTCATCATCTATTAAATAAAAACAGTGAGAAATGTTCAGACCTCCATATTGGATTAATGAAACAGCCTCTCCACAGAAATGTGGCTCAACAGAGGAGCTGGCCTACACCTCGTGGATAAAGGGCACTATTGAGGACCAAAATGTTCATATTTTGGACAGAGAAGACATGATTTGAGAAGAGGGTGAAGGAAGCCAAGAAAAAAACAACTTTAAACGGAGGAGGCGGTCTTAGATTTGAACTTTCTAAAGCTTTGAATGCAGCTATAAGCCTGATACCTAGGCCTGTCACGATAACAAATTTTGCTGGRCGATTAATTGTCTCAAAATTTATTGCGATAAACGATAATATTGCCTGGTGACCGTTTTACAACTAATAATTATAAAAGCGTAATGTGTAAGTGTAATAAATCA